ACAATATACATAATGTATATAACTTGCTCTGTACACAGAACACATACATATAATTCACAATATATTATAACAATTTGGTTGATTTAGTCTGACTTTGTGGCGTCGCTTAGGAATTTTTCTTGTTGTATTTTTTTTATAGTTTTTCTTTTATGTTCTGAGTTCAAAAGAAAAGAAAAATAATGAAAAAAAAGAATAAAATTTTCACAATTTTTTTGCTCTATTTTTTTTTCTATTTAAATAGCATACAGGAAAATTCACCATATTTTAAAGAGTATTGTGAATAAAATTAATAAAAATGGAATGTTAAAAAAGAAAAACTTGTTTTTTTTTTTTTCTTGATATGCAATTTCATACGTTCATAGTTTCAAACAAACATATCTACGTATAATAAGTACAATTTCACATAAACCGAATAGTTTATGATCGCAGTGAACACACACCTACTTATGTATAAATATAATAATACCAAATATGCATATTAGCCTAGCTGTGTATAAATGTAAGAGAATATATTCTCTTATATTCTTATTTTCTTTTCTGTATGCATATGGTTAGACACACAAACTAATATACAAATATACTTAAAACATAAAAAATTCTTTAGGGAAAAAAATTACAGAATGCAGAAAATATGTAATTTAATTGAAATGAAGTATGTATAGAGGAAAGAGAAAGAACGCGAGAATAATAAATAGGAGCAGTGAATTTTTTATTTATAATTAAAAAACATCAAAAAAAAAAATATAATAAAAATGTGAAAAAAAAGTTCATAATAGAAAAGCATTTCTTTTTTTCTCTAAGAAGAGTCCATGTTAATAATGTTAAGTACCGTACGGTTCCGATAAATTAATCATCATCGAAGTTTTTTTAAAATTTAAAGCTCTGTATAACAGTATCACAATTTGTATAACAGTATAGAAATTTGTATAACAGTATAGAAATTTGTATAACAGTGTAGAACTCTGTATAACACTATAGAAGTCTGTATAACAGTTAAAAACTCTGTATAACAGTATAGAACTCTGTATAACAGTATAACAGTAAAGAACTCAGTATTATACTTGCTTTGTATAACAATATATTAGCAAAGAGCTCTGTATTATACTGTATAACAGAACAGAGAACAGTTTAGCACAGATTAGCATAAAAAAATTTTATAACATGGTACATTTTATCAGATTGCAATACAAATAATAATTTTTGAATGAATTTTGAAGCTTCCCTGCAGCATTCAATATAAAAATGACTAGCAATTTTAGATTTTGTAGCACTGAATCGAAATGCGTTGCTTTGTTGAGAAAATTTCAAAATAACACAATTTTAATTTGAAACTTTCAACAAAAACTTATTTAATAATGAAAGTTCAGAGCCCGTAACCCTGTTTTAAATTATATTTATTGGTTGTATACTGTACTTTCGATACATTATCATTTTATTTAGTTAATAAATAATAATACAATTCCCGATATTATGTAAGTACATTATAATGTATACAATACAAGAATGTAGGAATGATGCACATTCCATTCAGGGAAAGGAAATTTAATAAATTCTATGTAGAATAAAAAAAAAATAAAAAAAAAATTTTATGTTTAGATGACGGCTATCACAGAAAAATCTTTATTATTCACAATGATGTAATGTTGATATTGATAAAATTTAATTCAATTTTATACCACATATACAATATATTGTACTCGTATAATATACCGAGTACATTATATTGTATTGTATACGAGTTTATTATATCGTACAGCCGTATATATTTTGTATAACATTATTGTAATGTAAGAAAATAGGGAGTGGAATGCATATAAAAGGGTAAAAAACACAAAAAAAAAATGTAATTTTCATGTTTTTTAAAATATTTTCATTTTAAGTAAATATATATATTGTGTTATACAGAGAGAAATAAGTAAAAATATACAGCTATAAAAGAATAGCCTATTTGTATCCTTGTCTTACTTATAAAAATCAATTTTAATATGCATTGTGGTAAGATACAAGGAGATGTTGATTAGTTAATTAAATTTATTAATATAAAAGAATAACGAGGAGTATATAACAAAAATCTATAGTCTAGATAGAGAAGAGAAAAAAAAAATTACAATTTTTATTTTGTATACCAAAGATTTTAGGCGACATTTTATAATTTATATTCTATATTTGTTAACTATATGTATATAGTATTATTTTAAATATATATTTTTTCATTATTTTGAATAGAAAGTAAATCTTAATTCTTGAATCTGTTGTCATGTACATAATATGTACAAAATAGTTTTGTATAAAAATAAATCTTAAATTGCGATTGCCATAATGGAAAATTTTGTATCATATTATATGAAGGTTTAAATAAAAATTATTTCTAATTTATAATAACAAATTGTTATACTGAAAGTAAAATTAATTTTATTTAATTATACTTATATATAATTATTGTATAACAGATCATTTTTGAAATAATAGTACACAATACTATAATTATCACTTAATATTGAAATTAAATTTTGTACTCTGTATAACAATATTACACCACATCTACATATATCACAAATTTTAATTATTTCGATAAAACAAAAAAAAAAAGAAATTGCAAGAAAATTTTTTAACTCCATAATCATAGATTATAAATTATGATATACTATTATACTGTTATACTGTGTATATATTTTTTGATATACAATTTTAATATTTTTAGAATTCTGTACTCAATATTAAAATATGCATGGTGTCACAACACGCCCCCATTTTTCAACCTATGTATTTAAAAATTATATTTTTACTCTCTTGTTTACTCATCAAAGATTCATTGTCATATTTCTCTATGTATACATATTCAAATCTATAATAATAAATACATATATATTAATCATATTTTGCATTGTGATGATTTTTAATTCAAAATATAAAAAATCACGTAAAATATTATTTTGCCTCTTATCTCTCTTCCCCCTCTCTCTTTGATTTTGAAAATGTTTCCGATTCGGAAATCAAATAAATATTATAATATACTCATTCATACATTGTATTTGTATGAATGTGTATGAAATACGAAAAGTATGAATAAAAATTATGATTTCAAATTCTTCGATACCTATATAGGATCTATATATTTTGGAAAAAAAAGTAAGTATTTTGAATTTTTAATTTTAATGAAAAAAAAAGAGAAAATGTAATTATTTATTTTTGTCGGAATTCTTTTATATTATTCTAGAATTTCTTTTACAATTTTTAAAATAATATTTCACCAAAATAGAATTTTAATATAATCTAACATGTATGAAAGTAGCTGTGTTGTATTTGTATATTTTTTTAATTATTTTCTTATTTGCTGAATTAAATCTTAAATATTCTATATGCAAAAAATTATTTAAATTGAAAAATGAAAACAAAAAAAAAAAAAAAATTAATTATTTTTATATTAATTCTGTAATGGAATTTTGCCAAAAAGTAATAAAATATTTGCATGAATGCAAATCTCATTTCTTTAAAAATTATAAAATTTTTAATTCATTTTTGCTATTCACATAATATGTTGTTTATACAAAATAATATATATGACTTATTGTATATTTAGGTATGATCATACAAAATCCAAATAGCTATTTCCAACTAAATATTAAAAATTGAATTCCAGAAATTTTTTTTTTTTTTGTTTAAATTAAATTTTTAATCGATTTTCTTAGAATTTATTTTAGTTATAATTTTTCATAGCTAATTTTTTATATATTTTGAATAATTTTAATGTATAAATTTAGAATTGTAATAAATGTTGAGGTTTTGTTTTACAACTTAATTAATATTTTAGCGTGAAATTATATTTTTATGTTTAAATATTATTGTGAATGGAAAATATTATTGTAATCTATAATAATTGAGTATGCAATACAGTAGTAGCTATAATTTTACTATTATTTCTCAACTATTGCAATAATACAGAAATTTAATAATATTCTCAATTAAAAATAATGAAACATGTATGTATGTACGTATAATAAGCTTGAAAGATCACTTAAATTTTAATGAGCTATTATAGACAGAATTGTTATAATTTTGAGAATGAAATAATAATATTAAATTTTAACAGTACATGGCAAGTGATAATATGAAAACGTAATTTGTCAAAAAAAAATTTTTCACTTTTTGAGAATTTTGCATTATTTTTGACATTAAATAAGTATACCATCCTGATAACACTCTTAATATTTCAATATACGAGTATTTTTACATTTCTTTATTTAAATTTATTCTTTATAAATATTAAAATAAAAATTAATTGAAAACATAAAAGAACGTCATTATTGAATTGCGTAAAAATTTAAAACAAATACAATATAAAAAATACAAAAAAACAAAAAAAAAAAATATAACAGAATCAATAAATTTTGCGCAAAACGTCAAAACAATATCGTCTAATTTTTAAGTGACGTTTCCCTCTAATTTTTTTTTTTGCTTTAATTAATTTATCAAAGAACAATAAATAAATAATTTATTATTTTATAACTTTTATATTTCTAAATTAATAAAATATAAAAATTCTGATTATTGTTAACAATTTAAATTGGAATAAAAAATTTTTCAAAATTAATGCAACGCAAAAAACAATTCACATATACCGATCGACAATAATTGAAAACTAATAAAATGCAGTTAGCATTGATATATATGTATGTATAATGTATGTAATAATAAAAATTAAAATAATTATTAAGAACAGTACTAATATAGTAAAGATTATTCTAGTATGTCATTCATATTTATTATGTATACGAGACAAAATTGATATTGTAAGTTTATATGAATATTCTAGTTTATTTTAGAATTTAATTGAGAAAATTATTATCATTTCATTCACAATAATTTATAGTACTTTTTTTCTTTATATGGCAACAAGTATTTTTGTTTTTTTTTTGTGTTCACTTCAGTCTTAAAATTATTTAATTTAAAATTTTAATATAATTTGTACTTAATTTAGAATAATATAAAAAAAAACTTACCCTAATGGAGCACGTAAATCAGCAAATTGTAAACTTGCAAGAGACATTGATGCAGTTGTTACTATAAAAATAAAATTAAAATAAAAAAAAAAATTATTATTTTATTAACTTTTAATTTCCGATTATAAAATATTTTTTTCAATTATTTTTAAATTAAATTAAATTTAAATTCTATTTCAAAAAAGGGGTTAAATTTTTTTTAAATAAACTTGTTTCAGAAATTATTTTTATTTAAAATCAAAAAAAAAAAATTAATTTTTCTTCATTTAATTTAGAAATAAAATTATTTATACTCAATATTTTTTTATGTAATATCACGGTTCGCAATAATTATTTCTTATCACTAATTATTATTAATTTTTCCTCAATTATTCGTTCTAAAAATTCAGAATAACTCTTAAGTTCTAAAAATTTAGACAACAATAAAATTTTTCAATTCAAATAGAAAATTGTTCACTTAAAATATTTTCAAATTTTCTTCAATTACTAAAATAAATTATTAAAGTGTATTCGCAATTATTCACAAGTGTGTTATCATTATCACTAAAATTATATTTTAATTATTAATTACCTTTAAAAAAATTTTTTGTTTTTCTAAAATCAATTAAAAAAAATTTTTTTTTTAATAATTTTTCTTGTCTTTTTCAAATTATTTTATTTAAATAAATTCAAAATAATTTTCACTTTTTTTTTAATTTTATTTTCAAAATTAATTTTATAATAATTTATTAATCACGACGGTATTTCTTCTTTTAAATTTTTTCTTTAATTATTTTATTAAACACAATATCCAAGTTACTATTTGTATATTTTAGAATTGAAAGCAGAAGAGCTTTAAACAATTATACTCAAAATTCAAAGTTGAAATGAAAAATAATTTTAAAAGTTTTATTTGATAAATGATTTTTTAAAATACAAAATTTTAAATGACTCAATACACACACAAAGGAAAATATCTAGTGTAAATGTGTTTGAGGATTGTTTTTTTTTTTTTTTAAATTTGTATGTGTGAAAATAAATAATATTAAGCGGAAATACGTTAGTAAATATAGGTCATAGTATAAATACATACATGTATAATAAAAAAATTATAATAAGAAAAACAAATGAAAAAAAAAATAAACAAATTTTTTTTTAAGTGTGGTTTAAGTTTTCGCTCATCGCTCATCGCTCATCGCTTGTTCATTTTTTCATTTTTTATTTTAATTCAAGCTAAGTACGTACGTAACGTCAAGATTCGAATTTCGCTTTCAGTCAAAAAAACAGAACAAAATACAAAAAAAAAAAAATTAATAGAAATCAAAACAGAATAAAAAAAAACAAAACTTTTAAAAATTTTAAAATACAAGTAGGAATAAAATAAGTATGTGAAGGTAGTTAAGATATTTAAAGTTAAAAAAAAGAAATACAAAATAATAGTCAAATGTGAACATTGTACTTAAGTATGTATGTATGTATACATGTACAAACATGTCTATTATGATACGTAAATATGTATAATTGTAAAAAAATACAATATAGTAAAGTAAATATGCGCAAATCAGAACAAAAAAAAAAAAAACACAAACAAATAATCAAAAGTCAGCTGTGAACAAAAGATTGTTTACTTATTCAGATTTGACAGAATGTTTTCAAAAAAAATTTGTACGTCAAAGCTTAAAAACAAGTTTTAAAGAAGAAAAAAAAATTTTAATTTGTCTGTCAACCACATATTTATATAAAACGTCTGCGAGGGTGTCAACGCTTATAAATTATAACCAAAAAAAAAATAAAAAATTCCTTGTGTTTTCTTTCTGGAAATTATTTTATTCTACATTCGTATATACGTACATTCGTATATAGATGGAGCTATAATAGATTTAATTTTTAAATCTCGTCGTATTTATTACTGTAAACACATATTCTATATATACGAGTAGTTATAGAAAACAATACAAGAACGTGTAAGTCTAGAATTTTATGAATAATTTTTGAGAATCAATAAGATGAAAAAAGAAGAAGAATAAATATTATTTTGAAATTTTACAGTATTTTATTATATTTGTACCGCAATAGAGTCAAACTTTCCATACAAACATAACAATCATTTTTCAGAGTCATTTACGATTAATCACTGTTGTATGTAAAAAAAAAAAATATAATTGTGATTTAAATAAAAAAATTTTTTTAAGTTTGCCTACATTATAATTTTATTTAATAAAAAAAAAATTTTTTAAATATTTGTTTATATTAGACAGAAAGTATGATTCATTTTTAATAAGATCTATAATAACAACATATTTTGTATAACAGTATACAAAAATGATATTTAGTGGTATAAAAATCCCCGAGTCGTTTTAAAAACAAGCTTTTCACATTTTTTTTTTTGTTCGTGCTTTTGCTGTTATGGAATTCCAAAAAAAAAATTTTTTAAATTTGAATGATAACATTTTGGTGTGTCTATTGTACAGGTTGTTCTTGAAATCTAATGTAAATATTATAAATGTTAAGTATGGCTATAAAATAATATTAAATTAAAATGCCTAAATCAAATTTATAATAATAATTAGCGTCATATCAGTATATGACGCACTTTTAAACCTTAACGTATATAATGAAAGTAATCAACGATAAAAGTTACACGACTAAAATTAAATATTAGATTTAGTAATATATTTGAGAATTTCAAAATTTATTTTTTGTCTAAATTTTAAATATTAGAATAACATAAATTGTATGTTAAGCTAATAACTTAAATGATTGTAATAATTTGATGCAAGGTCAGTAGAGCCACAAAGTGAAAATTAATGAAAGTACATACACCTGAAAATATAACAGCCATCTATCGTCCAAAAGCACATTACATAAACAGGGAACGAATTTTTCTGTCACATTTTTCTCAAGGAATATCAAAAACTCCCTATTTGTTATCAATGTTTGTTTGACATTGATTTTGCTATTCAAGTTTAACATTTCAACGGAATATATACATACAAAAACGTAATATCTAGTATGGAAAGGCACAAAATTAATTACAAACAATTATTAACCTTGCCACTACCCTGTATTTTTGGAATTAGCTCAAAATACCATAGAAATTTCAAATGATGAATCAATGATTTGTTTATAATTTGATTATTATTAATTAGCAATAATCATAAAAGTAAAATTTATTAGATAAAAAAAAATGATATAGGTATATATTCACAACTATCATCTGAAATATACTAAAGCAAAAGATACGCACACTCACACATTCATAGAAATATAGAAATTATAAGAAAAAGCTCATCATTAAGCTACTGAGTGATGGTTAAATTTCCGTGGAAATGTTTATAAATTATATAATTCAAGTGTATTCAGATATATGTATGTAAAATATATTACACATTATAAATATTAAATATTGGCGTTTATTGAGAAAAAGATTAATTCATGAAATTTCATTTTAAAGCTTTGTAATTTTATATTAATATTTTATATTCGAATGTTATCTATATTCTGTAAATACACGTGTCGTTAGCGTAACCCAAATCATTTGAAAATTTTTAAAGTATTTCCCGATAAATATTTGAAATATTTTGTTTGAACTGGTAAAATTTATACGTAATATCGTTTTATAAAGGTAAAAGTATGGTGGGAATTTGAGGGTTAATTAAAAATCATAAGAACACAACGGCTATGGTATCCGATATTCAAACCATAAATATAACATGTAAACAATGAATGACATTTGACACTGAGAAAGATTTTTATGCAAGTTTTAAGAAATTTTACATTCTATGACAGATTTTCCATATTATTGCAAAAATATTATAATTTTGTTACATTTTTAATTACCTAGAAATAATAAATATTTAAATTAAAATTAAAATTTGCATATTTTCTATAATTTAATTACAATATTATCTAATTTGGTAAAACCAAAATTATCTCATTTAAAATAATTTTAAAATTATGACAAATTAGTGCAAAACAAAAATGAAATTCTATGAACTTGTCTGAAATGGAAAACCAAAAATTTTAATTGCAAGTAGTTAATACTTTAGTTTACGAATAATTTTACATATATTTAAATTTTAAAAGCTTTTGTGTAATTTTACTATATTAAATTTGATTAAAATTTGGAAAATTTATTCTAATACACGTTCATAATTTTTTTCAGTTTAATGTAAAATAATTTTCGTAGCACACACTGAATAAATTTTTTCTTTTTATAAAATATTCCACTTATTCACAATGGTTTCAAATGAAGTAGTACATTAAATTATCATAATAATTCCATTGTATTTATTTCATGTGTTTACATGAACTTTTAGTACGTACATGTGGTTTTTTAACATAAAAAAGAAAAAGTAAAAAGTACTTAAAATATGCACACGCTTCTTCATTAATTTTAATTTCAAATTAAATTTTTTCTTTTTTTTTAAGATTCAATTGAATAAACAGTTAGTAATCACCCTATTAAATGCACCATCAAAAACACGAGTTTTGTAAAATTTTCCAGAAAGAAAATGAAGCAAAAGTGTAGTGAATAAATTTTTGTGGTTTTATCAAACTATCAACGCAAACGCGCAACGCTTTCCTCTCCTACACTTGACACATTTTGATTTTCTCAATTACATTATACTTGTGTCTTATTTTTTCTTTTTTTCTTTTTAAATTTTTGGAAATTATTTTATTTATGTTATGAAAGTATTTTCCTTTAAGGTAACCACAAAAAAATATGTATTGAAGGTTGTAAGTTCATTTGAAAAACAAAAAAACATAAAACAAAACCACAACGTGAAATGTAAAAGCTCGTAAAAGCATAAATAAAATATTGAGGTTTTCATTTAAGATTACCTGAAATTTGTCACATACTCTACTTTTTGTTTATCCGCACAAATATTTTGTGAAATATGAAAATAAGATCACGAGTACATAAAAAAAAAAATTCATACAACCTTCAATCTCTTTTTTTTTAAATTTGGTATAATAAAATTTTAAAAAGAGAAATTTTAAATTGATAAACATTATAATTCACAATAGTACTGCATCGCATTAAGTCAAATGCGTTAGTACAATTTTAATAGCAGTACT